AAAACCTTACTTTGCTTTTTGCAAGTTTGATTGATAGAAAAAGTCCACCATATACCTCATTCAGTGAAGTCAAATACAAATTCAAACTTCTATATCGTAGTAGCAGAGATGGTTTAAATGCTGCTACATTTCATCAAAAATGCAATAATATCAACAAAACTCTTGTAGTTGGCAAAATACAAAGTTCAAATCAAATAGTTTGTGGCTATAATCCACTTGATTGGAGTGGAGTGGGTTATAAAAGTACAACTGAAAGTTTTATATTTAATATAAGTAATAGAAATGATATCAATACTGCACAATTTAGTTATGTTATCAACCATCAATATGCAATTTTCTGCTATCCTTCACATTTAGCTCATTTTGGTTATAATGATTTGTTGTTTCAACCTGAGAGTACTATTTATAGCACAATATCAAGTTATAATAACATCAATATAACACATGGCAGTAGATTTGATGAATTGGAAGTTTTTCAAATAATTGATAAAAATAAATAACAATAAATACAGTGCAGTGTTAGATTATTATTGTATTTCTTTATATATTTTTCACATGTTTTCATTAGTTATGTTTAATTATTTTATATACATTGAGTATGTTAGCTTGATAAATTATTACTAGTGTGGGGAGACAAAAATGTGAATAACTAATAAAAAATTTTTATTGGACATTTAACCAACTTAATGATAATGAATGAACCTTGGGTCTTTACTTGAAAAAGTAGGAGTAGGATAACTTTGTTTGGGTCCTCATTTGAACAAAAATGGAGAGGACAAATACCACTTTAAAATAAATCTCTGTAAAATCATCATCTTTTAAAAATAAATTGTAATAAACTTTTAAACATAATGGGTCTGATTTATTTCATCAACTGTTCATTTCCATTTCATCAACAGTTCATATGATTTTAGCATAACATATGCATTGGTTATAGGAATTATGATTTCAGAAGTATCAGGAAATTTGGATACTAATTAGTTTGCAAGCATATTACAATCTGGGATTATACCATAAATGGAAATCAATTCTAGAATAATTTACAGTCACACCTCGAAATTTAATTGGCCTTTGATAATCTTTCCTACAAAAAAAAAATAAAAAAAATCACAACATTCTTGTAAGCCCAAAAAAGGTACCCATCATATAGTAGTACCATATTTTTATAATATCAATAAGCTCGCCTAAATACACAGTTCAATAATCCACATATTAGTTTTTTTTTTTAATAAGAGACATGTTTTGGCTTGAATTTTCAGTTATTCATTATTTTTTTTTATTTTTTTCACATGTAATTATAGAAATTATTCAAATTCCTACAATTATGGTGTCAAATACAAGACAACTAGCCAAAACTTTACCATGTTTGTTTAAAGACATAGTTGATAAATATCCAAAGAGTCAATTACGACCATGTAAAACTGACTCACAAACATGGAAGCATGCATCAGCACCTGATGCAGTTGAAAGAGTAAATAAATTAGCTAAGTATTTCCCTGAATTATCTTTATTAAATAATTGTTTAGAAAATTGTTCATTATGTATAAATCATTATAATCAAGTTGTTGCTACTGACAATTTTTATCAGAATCTTTTAAATTCAGATCTAAGTTCAGACATATGTTTAATTCAAAAAAACAAAAGGTTTTGACAAGATATACTGGAGACAGATTCTAGTAATAGTAGTATTGTTAAAAAATAGGAGCTAATCAAAAGACAGTACACAGTGAAACTCAATTTAACGGATAATAAGTTTGGCCCAAGAAATTTATCTGCTAAATCAAAATATCCATAAAAATGAGAAATTTGGAATTAGCAGACTATAATAAAAATCATGTGACATCAGTTAAATTTAAAAAAAATTAACAAATTTTACAGTATATAAAATATGTAAATAATAAAATAATAATATATATAAACAACAAAAAAAAAATTAAATATATTTTATTCTAGCATATAGTATTCTTCAATTCTTGTTTGTACTCTTGAGAATTTTTGTAAGAAGTTTCCTTTAATTTATTGACATTTCTAATTACTTGGAATCAATTTCCAATTTTTTTGTTGTACATATTTGAGTGCAGTTTCCAAATCTTTTATAGCTTCTGTGCTTGTTTTTTTTAAAAAAAAATTGATAAATTTTTTTTTTTTGATTATAGACAAAGGTGGATATTTTTTATTTTTACGAATCATTATACAAGCCATAAATTTTAATTTTACAAATCATAAGTTTTATTTTACATTTAATTATTTTTAATTATAATAAATATACAAAAACACTAATTTTTATATTCATGACCATAATAACCTGAGCTACCAAATAATGTAAATTTCATACAAAGTCATTATGTAAGATTTTGCGGAATTTTCGAAAAAATGCGTTTGAATATTTTTAGATTAGAAATGTGATGATCTTTCTATATATCTACAAAATTTTCAAAATCTATCTAGTCCACCAATTCTTTTTCTAGAGTTATAAAATTAGTATCAAATAAAAGTTTGGAACATATTCTTCCACTTAAAGGTTTTAGATTTTTAAAAATTTTATTAAAATTTTTTTCTATTTTTGTTTAAAACTTTTTTTTTTGCATACAACTTTTTTTTATAAACAAAAAATAAAACCTTTATTTTGAAGTATGTTATGTAGTACTTATATACTAATTTTAAACAAAGGTCTATTTGATAAGTATGGAGGAGATAGAGTTTGAATTTTGTTTATTTTTTATATTAAAATTTTTACATCTATTTGATCAGCAAAAAATCCGCATATATGATTTTTTATATATGTGGAGGACCCCGGAAACTACATAGATAGGTTATCCTAAAATTTTCAAAAT